CCTGCGTCCCCTCGATGTGCTGGATCGCCTGCCAAGGGCAACTTCCACCCATCAGGACATCGTGTCCCCTCTTCTGATGCACCCAGCTGGGTGAGGGACCCCTCCAAAGCACCCCCACAGCTGTCCTCCCCGGCGCCCCCCTTACCTGAACAATGGTGTCAAGGTTTTGCCGGGACGTGGAGACTGTGTTGATGACCGAGGACGGACCCATGGTGACCACGGTGACGTGATGGGAGGGAGTTGGTGCTGGAACGATCACAGTGGGGTGGTGGGTAGGCGCTGGGGGAGCATGTGATGGCAGGAGCTGGGGAGAGAAGCAAAATCCCCGAGTCAGCACAGACCAGAGCACAGTGGCGATGGGGAGAGCATCACACTTTTTTGTGGAGCCCAAACTCCTTCAAGAGCCCATAAAAAACTGAAACAGCAGCTTGGCTGCTCCAGTTCACCCACCCTGGATGGACAGGAGAGGATGCCAGCTGAAAGCTGCATCACCCTAGATTTGGCAGAGCGGAACATAAAGAACTCCCCGTATCCCAAAGGGGGAAAGATTTGGGCTTTTAAGCCAAGGAGAGGGAAGTGCCAGCCCTCCCATCGTCCGGACCTGCACAGCTGGGAACCTGCCGCGCCCCTCCGAGCTTCTCATTAGAAGAGCAGATGGGAAGATCCGCCCTAGCAAGAGGGTAAGGAGAGTTCACCTAAAAATAGGCTGAACTTCCCCGGGAGGCGGCCAGCAGGGATCCTGCAGGGACGCAGTTCCACAGAAGCTGAGTGAGGGAGGAAGCTGCTTTTTCTCCCTCCCTTTGAAGCTTGCCAGACAGGCATCCCCCCGGCTAAGCTCAAGTGTGGCAGCAAGCAAGGATGGGTGCCAGCAGTGAGCAAGGAGGGGTGCTGCCACCACGCTCACTCTGTGCTCGCCTCCTCACTGCACCAGGCTGGCCAAAGGCTCCCCCCACTGTTGGCAAATCCAACTGTGCGGAGGGAAAAGGCAGAAGGCTCTATGCCTGCAGTCCTGCCACATCTGCCCGGCACCGCTGCCTGCCAGTTTGCCTGCTCCCCCTTCCCAGCCTGGTGGGTGGCAGGGAGCGGTTTGGAGGTCCCAAGAACTCAGCACGAGTCACCCAGCAAGAGGTGATCCCCCAGAGATGGGGCTGGCCTCCACATCACTGCAAACCACACACCCCAGCACAGGGACCATGACCTGCATCAACCACTGCTGGCATCACCCCCAGATGGGATGGATGTCACTTCATCACCTGCGGGTGAGGAAATGTGCCTGCTGGGAGCTGGAGCTGGAGCAGGACCACAGCTCACCCAAGTGGGAGCTGCTCTCCACTCGTGCCTGGTTGGGAGAGCCTAGCAGGGAGAAACATGGTGCTGGGGCTGCAAATTGGGCCGCATCCAGTGCATCCAGCACAGCCTTGGAAATCCATGGGCTTGCTAGCGCCAAGCTGAATGACTCCCTGCCCACCAAAAAGCGACCCTCCCAAACAAAGCCATCCACGCTGGGGAACGGAGCTGCTTGGAAGCTGCTGCAGCATGGTCCAAGCCATGATCTCACTCGCCAAAACATGGGGTACCCATAAGCGCAGCCCCACTAGTGCTGCAGTGGGCTGTGCACTGACCTTTTCCCAATTCTTCAAGGGAGAGAGCTTTGCTGGGACCTCACTGTCCATCCCAGCACCACAGGAGATGCCAAGCACATCACCAAACCACCCAACCCCCTGTATTTCACTGCCCAGGCACCCAGCTGCACCACTCGAGGGGTGGGAGGCTACTGGGGTGTCCCCATGGATGGGCTACAGCCAGGGTGGGCCAAGACTGCATCTGCACTCACCTGGGTTCGGATCTGCTGCTCACGCTCTAGCTTCTCCTGGTGCAGCAACCTCACCTGCTCCTGCTGCTGCTGGAGCTGCACTTGCTGAGCGATCACCTTCAGCTTCTCGGGGTACATGTGGGCCTCCAGGGAGCGAACCTGCCGGCCGAGAGAGCCCTGACACTGGTGGGGAGCCCAGCCTGCTGCTGGCACAGCACCCCCCAATCCCCAGCTGCAGGCTGTTCCCCTCCACGCAGTGACCACAGCATAGTCAGGGAGCCCACAACCATGCATGGAGCAGAGGTGGTCAGAGCACATGACCCAAGCAAATGACCCTTTACACTGCAGCTGCACCAGCATCTCCAGGAGCTCCTGCAGGGCTAAAGGATACTAAAGGACGAGCCCAGATGGATCCGGCCCCATGTGGCCTTACCTGCTCCTCCAGCATCATGCGGACTGAGCGCTCCTTGTCCAGTTGCTGCCGGAGCTCAATCATCTCCCGCCGCAGATCCTCGGCCTTCTCATCCTCCCAGATGTCCGGTGAGCCGATCCCCTCATCCTTGTCCTCTGCCCGTCGAAAAAGGCGGGGGGGAGCCACTGAACTCCTGCAGTGGGGGACGTGGTGTCAGGGGACAGGGACCAGCTCTGATGCTCTCCCCACCATCCAGACCATGTCTGGTTGGTGCCACACTCTTGGCCAACCCCCAGCACAGCTCCCTGCAGGAAAGGGTCTCCCCAGGGACATGGGATTGACACCTGGGGACAGATGGCTCCTGTGCCCTGAACACACCCACCCTCCTAATCCTCACTCCCCAGCCTCATGCAAACCCACTTCTCAAAGGGTGAAACCCAGGACAGTTCAACTCAGCTGCCCCAGAGCTGAAGGTGCCACCAGGCCATACACAGACACCCCAAATGGAAAACAGGACTCCAGCTCCTCTCCGCCTGCCAAGCAAAGGCCAGATTGAACAGCGCTCCCATGCCCTGCCAGAAGGGTGCAAAACATCTCCATTCCCTGGCCGATTAGGGTAGAGGGTCTTGCCCTGACACCAAGGAACAATGATGATGTCCATCCCTTCCCACCCCATCCCTGGGGCACACAAGCAGGCGCTACCTGGATGAACCGCTTGAGCTGGGTGTTCTGCTGCAGTAGCCGAGTCTTCTCCTGCTCCAGGGAGAAGATGTACTCAGCCGTCTGCTGGAGGATGGCTGCCTGCAGAAGAACCAGGAGGGGAACACTGAGGCAGGAAAGACTGTGGCATCTCCCCAAGCCCTGCTCCAGCCAAGCTCCCTCCCTGCCTGGGACGCAGCAGCACTGCTCTTTGCCTGCTCCCAAAGTCTCCATCCAAGTTCTGCTTCACTCCTGGGTTTCCCCTGGGATTTCCATCATGGTGAACCTCCAGTTCACTCATCTCAGAAACCCAACTGGCAGCCAAGCACCAGCTCTTCACCCCTCCTGCCTCCACAGTGGAGCCACCTTGCCACCGAGGCACCTGCCACCCCGCTCCCAGGGCACTGGGTGCTGTTACATGCACCCAGCCCACTCTGAGACACCAGGGTTGCAATGCACACCCGCTCCCATGAAGAAACCTCTCCAGAAAAGACCTCCATTGCTGAACTAACATATGCAAATACCCCAATTACTCTTACAGCCCTGTCCTGCCCAACAAGGAACGCTGAAAACCTCCATGTGCAGAATAGCGTCCACACCCCGCTCACCTTGCTGAGCTTCTCCCCATCCGTGTGTGGGATGAGGGTTTTCAGAGACTGGAAGCCAGCATTGATGCTCTGCATCCGCCGTCTCTCGTTGCTGTTGGCGATTTCCCTGCGTATCCGCCGCTCCTGGTCCCGCTGGGTCTCTGGAGTCAACGGGATGTTAGCCAAGCTATGAGAGAGGCACAGGGTTAGGGAGAAGGGGGCTGCACTCCTGCCACCAGGTTGCCCCCACTTGTTCCTCCTCACTTTACAATGACGATGCCAACCACCAATGGGATGGTAAACATGGAGAGGATGACGGCTGTAACACTGGCGAGCACAAAAGCAGGTGGGTGAGCTTCTCCAGCCCCATATCCAAAGCTCTGGGGGATGCATCGACTGAAT